TCAGTACTCAAAGTTTGCTAGCAGTTGCAAAACTTACAATAGCTCACGGCACTCAGATCAGATCAGCCCAGTATCTAACAAACAGAGAGTTAAGAGTCATTCTGGCTCCCTCTTATTGAGGAAAACAGCAACCAATCAGATTTTACAGTATGATTTAAAGAAACAGGTACAACATTGTTACATGATTTATATATTGCCAACCCAACCATTAGAATTATATTCCTAACAGTATCACTTTTCCAACATTGTGCGAGGGCTATTCTCGCTGCTGTAAATTATGTGCAAGATTAAATATTTTATCTCTTCCGCATACTTTCCCTTAATAATCCCCAGAAGGAGCAGTGCTTTTTAACTTTAGCAACTTGAAGATGTGTAGACATCCTCTCTTAAAATCCCCAGTCAGCCATTCTGGGAATTAAAGTGCACACATCGTCAGGTGGCCGAGGCTAAGAAACATTGTCCTAAAACATGACAGTAGTTTTCTTGGCAACACATACAAGAAATGTGTATCACCTTCTTTGCTTGTGTTGCTTTTATTGTCCAATCCAGTGTAATGCCCCGGGATTCTCAGGAATTCTCTGTGTCCCATCCAACTTTGCTTAACTTTTTTGAGATCAGCCAATCTATGATTTGTGGCTCCAAGTTTTGCGCTGTGAAATGTGAAGGAAAGGAAAAGAGCAAAATTGATGCTCAATAAATCCAATAAATTATAGTTTCTTAAATGAATGGTTGATGATACCATATGTTTATATCTGAATTGAAATGAAGAATTTGTGGCTTCTTATTGTATGCTGAGTACTAATGACTCATATTAAAATTTATGTCTCTAGATGTTGACGAATGTTTGGATAATAATGGTGGCTGCCAACAGATTTGTGTCAATACTATGGGAAGCTATGAATGCCAGTGTAAAGAAGGGTTTTTCCTAAGCGATAACCAGCACACCTGTATCCATCGTTCTAATGGTAAGTCCTGAAGAATATGCATTAACTTTAACACATACAGTATCAATGTTAATAGAAGACTGATGGAAAATTTCTTGGTGTATTTTAAAATCTGGGTTTTTACACTTTTGGTGATCTGTTGGGAGCAACTTAGAAGGGGTCGCAGCATTTATTTAAAGCTAACCAGCAAAGTGAGACCATTGCCAAAACTCACTGGCACTTTGCCTAAGTACACCTGCAGTGGGAAGATAAGCACAAGTGTTACGAAACCTGTGGGTAACCCACTAATTGTAGAAACATTGGGATCAAGAGCTGGCTTCTAGCCAAATGGGCATTTCCCAGATGGTGTGTATTAGTATATCTCTTGACTCGGAGTAATTAAACTTAAGAGCTCGTGACATTCAGTATTTTTATCCATTAATTTATATTTCTAGCCCACAAGTTTCAAACCTGCGGCATCACATTGGCATCACATGACGTTTTGCAACTTTTCCCCCCTTCACGGACCTAGGATGGGCGTGGCTTATGCGCCCATCCGGTCCGTGGGCCGCCACTTTGACACCCCTGCTCTAGTTGAGTGGTGACGGGAAATTGTAAGCTGTCCAAACTACTAATAGTGCTGGTAAAAGTAAACTTATATCAAGAAAATATATCAGAGTTATATATCTTTTGGTGTGTCGTATACTTCTTATACCAACCAAATCTCAATGAGTTTATTAATTTAATTGACACAGGGAGGTTGTACAATTATTTTATCAGATAGTGATGGCACTGCAGAATTTGAATGTGCTTGGTTTAAAGTGATTTCCACATGCAAAATAGTGATTTTCACTATAATTATAATTTTGTCTGAGAAAAGAGGTGAATCCATACCAAACATTAGCAGACACTTTATACTATTTGATGATGTGACATTATAATGAGCACGTGGTATTTCACAATGAATTTTAACATGAGTTTTAACAGAATTGTTAATTTGATTTTGCTTTCCCCCTAATAAAACATCAGTTCCAGCACACTGCCATGAAATGGGGCAAAACAAAACTATGAAATTTGTTGAGTATTTTGTTTATTTTGCCTTTTATAGCCCTACCTGCACAGTGGAGCCTTTGGTTCCATACAGTGATACTCTTTCATTGGCAGTGATGAGTAGATGAATTATGTCTGAGAATTTATGAGCATGCATCACACACTTTAATGCCTCAGCTATTAATTTAGCAAGCAGCAAAGGAGTATTGGGTCAACTGTGGGGCAATCTCAGTTGTCTGTGAGATCATGCTTCGATTGTGGGTTCTTGAAATAGGTTGTGAGAACTGGCTTATAGGAAAATTGATGTGTTGGTGGATCTAATGGACTTTAAGAACATAGAGATGGGAGTGTGGGAGGTCCAAATGATTGAAGCTTCTTTGTACCTCCAGGCTTTTGAAAGGTGCCAATTAGCAAACAACAAAATGATGGCAATGAAATAATAAGGGATGGCAAAAATAAGTACAGCTTGCATTCAAATTACACCAGAGAAAAATATAATCTGAATATAACAATAATTTGAAACAAGTCATGATTATGATCAAAGAGGAAAGTTGATGATAACTATTATGAACTGCCTGTGAATTTCTACCAGCTTTGTAAGGAGTGTAATTGTAAGTTAACAAAAAAATAGGACTGAAATATTCTTCTGAAAATAACCCTTAACATAGTGGGCAATCATCAACTTGATAGGCTGCCCCTCCAGACAGTAATATATATTTATACAGATGCACAGAAATCTGTTTAAAACTCTCCTGCATGACTGCATTTCTTGAAATAAATACCACCAGGAAATGAGTCTAGAATTTTAAACTCATGAAAATGGCAGGATTTTTACAGTTTTTAGGAAATGTAATTCTTATGGTCAAAGACATCTTTACAGTCAAAATGCAATAACTTCCCTTAAATCTGCAACAGTCAGGTAATTTAATTATTGCCTGCAATTATTCATAATAATTCAAGGAAACTATAAAATAGACTGTTACCAGATATGGGTTTCACCTAATTGTACCACCAGTTCGCCGTGCACTGAAAATGTGACTGTGCACATGTGCACACTCACGTTGCACTTTCTTGGCCTTGCACGCATGTGCACGGCTTAGAAAACATGGCTAAATAGGCCACTACCGCTTCACCTGAACTGGTCCAAACTGGCTGAATACCACCACTGACTTTTACTGGATGAAAGATGAGCATTTTGTAAGCAAAGAGTTTTCTCCAGACACAAAGTTGTCCATCTTCTCAAGAGTGGGAAGAAGTTTTAAGCCAGTTTCTCAACTGTGGCCACTTTCAGATATGGGGACTTCAACTCCAAGAATCCCTAACCAGTTGAGGTTGAGAAACACTCATTTAAACCCTTAAGAAAATTAAATTAGCACTGATAATCAATTATGGGGATGAGGAGATCTGGCTTAGCAATAGTAATTATGAAAGGGATCTGGAGATCACACATGTCTTGAATTGCAAAAATGGGTGGCGTACGAATTTAATATTTAAATAAGCCAGAGTAATTATTTTATTGTGCACATTGTAGAAATAGCAATTAGGATGTGGGGAGACTTTGAGACTATGGAGTAAAAGGGACATTGTAAGACATTTGTCTGGTAAAATACATGGATGGCTCAAATCAGTGGTGGGTTTCAAAAATTGTTTGAATCTACTCTGTGGGTGTGGCCTCCTTTGTGGGAGTGGCTTGCCACCCATGTGACCAGATGGGACTGGCTTGCCACCCATGTGACCAGGTGGNCTTATGGTCCAACTTTCCCAGCCACACATTGCGACTGGGAAAACCATAGCTTTGACAAGACACACTTTTGTTGGCAGGATTAGGATGTATGCGGTGACAAATATCAGGTCTACATTTCTTTTCCACTCCCAGGAATTTTGCACCTAACACAAGAAATTCACTGTGTAGGTTGTTTCACCTAACTTTTTGTCTGTTGGGAGGATCTATTGGACCACTTTTATAGATCACCAGTTTCAAAATTGTTGAGTTGGATCTAAGCACCTTTTTTGAATGCAGAATCCCTTCAGGAAGCTTATTAAGTGCTTTCTCCAGCTATTAAAGAAATTCTTGCCTATACGCTTTCTATTTTGGATTGTCAGTGCTCCATCTTCCTATTTTTCTTCCCCTTCAGAATGTCAGAGAAAGGTTGCATCTGGCAGCCCACGGAAGGGGAACAGAAATGAGATCAAGAAGGTGTTTCTTCAGCTTCTAGCAGGTTGCCAGAGACAGGAAGATAATGAAAAGGAAACCCTCCAATGTACACTGGCTCTAACGTTTCAATATTAAGAGGCAGAATCTCCTTTAGTGAAATAAAATGTAAAGGAAAGACAAAATCTATACTTTTGCTTTCCTGTGTCAATCAACGTCAATTGCTGCTGTTTCTGGCTGGTCTTCGGTCTTCTGAAGATGGTAAAAATGGATTTATGGGCACTCGTTATATATATAAAGGCAGTTCATGATTCTTTGAGGTGCTGGTTTGAATCAAGGAAATGACTCCGAGGATGTGATTCCTTTGAAATGACCACTGGGAGAAAAATATATCTTTAACCTGGTTATCCAAACCGGTAGCTTGGGGTGGAGGGGATGAAGAAAATAGGAATATAGATTTCTTCCTTTCTTTTCCTTCCTTTCTTCCTTCCTTCCCTTCTACCCTCCCCCTTCCTCTCTTTTTTCCTCTCCCTCCTACCCTCCATCCCTCTTTCTTTCTTTCTTTCTTTCTTTCTTTCTTNCCACTGGTGGAACCTCTTCTAACCGGTTCGGTAGATTTGACGAACCGGTTCTACCGAATAGGTGCGAACTGGTAGGAACCCACCTCTGGTTTGTATCTATTGTTTGCCCGTGTATTGTTGAGGTTGAAGCTGAAGTAGTCGTTGACAGATAGGATGTTGTAGTGGACAATTTTGTGTACTATGATTAGGTTTTATAGGTATATTCCTCTTCATCATGTTCCAATGACATTTTCCTTTCATGGCTCCTCAGTGCTAATAATAACTTGAGGGGACAATTCTTTTTAACAGGGCAAAGCAGAGGAGAATTCCCTTTCCAGCAGCACCATCCTCCTCCTCCGTGATCACAACCTCCTGCCATATGCTGCTATTTATAGTAACACAGGAGAAACAGCATAAGTTCAAGTGACAGGTTTAAAATCATGTGCAACGCAGTCCTTTAATACAGATTTACCACCTCAGTGACAAGCCTTTGTGGTAATAAATTACATCTTTTCACCTCACTTTCTGCAACTTAAGTTTTGAAACATGTCATATCCAAGTCCCAAATTGCAACTTACAAAAGCGCACGAGTCACCCGCTGCTTTTGACTCTTCCTGGTAACATGGGAATGAAAGGAAACTAGCAATGTGGTATTGTTGCATCATCATCACCTAGAATAGCTTCCCTCCACTTGATGCTCTCCAGATGTGGCTAGGAATTCTGGAGCTGCATTGTGGCATATCTGGAGGGCACCAGGTTGGGAAAAAAAGCTATTTCTGGAGTATCAATCCATTGAACCTATCAGAGAGCACAGCAATTGCTGGTGCATTGTGGCTGCATCCCTTTTTCTGCAATACATTAATGGAAAGCTGCAGGAGCTGTGTAAATTGGCAATAGTTGTTGTATTTTTATAGCTTGGTTGCAATTCTCTTTTTTCATGTGTGAATCAGTCATAAATCTGTCCCAGAAGCATTCCGGCTTCTGATCTTTTACAGACTTGGAGCTTTTACCACAGCTAAACTGGAACAATTTTAATCATAGCTAAACTAGAACTGAAATGAAGGATATTACATGGTTTGATTCTTCCTGGTCAAGTTTAAAAAGGTTAAAATTAAAGGAAAGGAAAGAAGAGGTGCTTTAGTGGACCAGCTGCCAAGAAGAATTTGAAAAGACTGTTACAGCATACTGTAGAACCAAGATCCTTGGAAAGTCATGATGAATAAGAAGAAAAGATTGCCTCTATTGAACATCTGTACTCTTAATTATTGGATATACAAAAGTTTTAGTATCCCACACAGGTGAATATCGTCATCCTCATATTCCACCTGAGTTAATGGGTTCAGGACTAAGACCCTGCTGGAGCAATGCATAAAGAATACTTTATTGTGATCACACAATATACAATGATCACACAATTAAACACTTCAAGCTTTAGAGGCATTGTTTCCAGGAAATGCTGAAATCTGGCATGCATTTCTTAGAGTAACCATCTGTCATTAGGCAATTAAAGCCTAATGTGATGTTTTGAACATTTGAACATTCATAGATATGCATAAAATAAACAAAGGGAAAAGCAGTGCTGCTGAAGAAGACAGGAGTTCAACAAAGCAGAAATAGCTCAGAAACAGCCATTGTTCAATATTTCTGTCCTTCTTAGGGTTGCACTTTCTGTCCATATATATTTGGTTGATGGTATAATAATGTGGTCATTTTTCACCATTCAATACTTATCCCAGCGCAGAGGTGGGTTCCTACCAGTTCGCACCTATTCGGTAGAACCGGTTCGTCAAATCTACTGAACCAGTTAGAAGAGGTTCCACCAGTGGATCCGGAAAGCAGGCCACACCTACANGTTTTTCCACAGACAAGAGGGGGCATGGTTTTGCATGCTGCCTGCATCCTTCAGATGGGGCTTTGCTTGTTTACACGGCCTAATTTCTGGCATGCTGCGCCCCAGTGCCGATCCACGGACCAGGGGTTGGGGGCCCATAGTCTAGACTAGTCCAGTTTGCCAGTGCCCTTGCTGGCCAGTGTTCTCATAAGCTCAGTATATAGCCTAAGCATTTTTAAGGATAACTTTAATTTGCAGAAGTACCTCCATTGACAAACCAGTTAGTATCTTCCTCTACCCCTTAGCTTTAAGACTTATTAAAAAGCTTGGTCCACCAAGATGGAAGCCAGCTAATTAAAATTACATTAAGTTCTAAATCTATCCAACAGATTTTGGACAAGGCACTTCCAGATCCCCTGTTTGGTCAAACTCAAAATTCACTTTTTATCATCACTTGCATCTTTTTCTTTAATTCCCAAAGCAGCAAAATTTTCATGTTGTGATTTCTTGGGCAGAATGTGTTAATAAATAGTGAAAAACCAATACGAACTGCAAAATTCCTTACAATCATTCTGATGCACGACACATAAGCCAGAATTGCACCCAAATAGTTGATTGCTGTGAGATCTTTAGAACAAGTTCACTTTAGTATACTGTCTATCATTGTATCAAACAAGTTGGATATAAAGAAATAGACAAGTTCATGTTTTTTACCTGCATAAATAATAAAACTATAAGAATAATAATAAGAGAAAGAATTGGAGAAAATCACAAAATAGAAAGACCTGCAAACAAAAGTTGAATGACAGTGGCAAAAGAAAGCAAAGATAGTACCAATACTAATAGATTCCCTGGATAAAATTACAAAACACCTGGAGCACTATTTGAATACCATCAGCATTGACAAAATCACCACCAATCAATTGCAAAAGGCAGCTTTACTTGGGAACAGCTTGCGACGATACCTTCAACACCATCAAACAACATCTGCCTATCCCAGGTCTTTAGGAAAGGTTCAGTGTTCATTTTTCAGTGTACATGATACCACTGTAGCAAGCTGTGTTGGCTTCCAATATACTTCCAGGTGCAATTCAAGATGCTGGTAGTTACCTTTAAAGTCCTTCATGCCTTAGTATCTCATTACTATAGGATCATCTCTCTCCAATTGTTTCTATCTCTCCAATCGAGTTTGGCAGGAGGAGCATACTCTGAATGTCAGCTGGCAAGCCAATGTGGAAGGTCTTTTCTGCCAGGGGATCCACCCTGTGGAACATCTTTCCATCTGAGATTAGGTTAGCCCTGATCCTGCTGGCCAAGGATCCCAAGGCCCTAAAAACCTGCTTTTATGCCTGGGCCTGGAGGCCTAGAAGTGTGACTGAGCCCATCTCTTGGCTTCATTGGCTTTTTTTTCATAAAGATCAGCTGCCGTGTACTTTTATTTTATATTATTCTATTTTATTTTAAACTGCTACATATGAGAGATGGGCAGCTATTGAAATCAAATGAATAGAGACTTGTTTAATGGGACCAGAAGCCTATCTCCTGTTTTGATTCCTGCTAGAAGCTCCAAATTGTGCTAACTTGATTTTTCTGTGTTGCAGCACAATGCAGGAGTGGTCAGTACTTAAAAGAATTTAGCCACATCATGCAGAGCAAATGTTTGCAGGTGTAGCAGTGAGCACCACCATGTAATTTCATGTACAATTACCTATTCGTTCCATGCTTTATAAGAAAAGAAATCAAAAGAAATGAACAAAATCTCAAAAATCTTGTCCGTGTATTCGCTCTGGAAATCTCTGTAATTCCCAAGTGAGAATGTGAAAATGTTAGGAAATCTTGGCCATTGAAATATTACTTTTAGAGGTCTGATAATGTTACTTCAAGTTTACATGCATGTCATGGCATATATAGGCTACACACTGACAATTTATGCAATACTAGAAATTAGGAAGACAAGAAAGTTTTCAAACAATGGTCATCTCCTTCCTTCTACGCCTTGGACACTGAACATCACAAGATTATAGTAAAATGTTGATAGTAACTCAGAATTCATAGTTACTTTGCTGGATCTACCCTCTATACCTACGATGGCAAACCTATGGCACGCATGCCACAGGTGGCACATGGAGCCATATCTGCTGGCACATGAGACATCAGCTCTGGCATACTGGCCAGCTACTTTTCGGCCTTCCGGAGGTCCAGGAAAGGCCTTTTTCACCTTCCCCAGGCTCCAGGAAAGCCTCTAGAGCCTGGGGTGGGTGAAAAACGGGCCCAACGGACCAACCTCCCTGGCATCCTGGAGGCTCTCTGAAAGTGGAAAAGATCATTTCCGAACTTCTGATTGGCCCGTTGGACCTGTTTTTCACCCTTCCCAAGCTCTGGAGGCTTTCCTAAAGCCCGGGGAGGGTGAAAAACCCCTCTCCATGCAGGGGGGGGGGGTTATGCACACATGCATGTGGTCGTGCATGCATGCGCCTGGAGTTGTGCATGCATGCAAGTGGGTCATGCGTGCATATGTGTAGGTGGGCAGGGCACATTACATTGTGGGTGTGGGGCATGCATGCACAATTTTGGCACGCGTTTACAAAAAGGTTCGCCATCACTGCTCTATATTCATGTATGGGCATGTGATGATGGCACACTTGACAACTACTTCTGAACAATATGGAAGTAAAGAATAGGAAAGGAATAGATGTCGCTTTCCTGGAAGTTCTTCTTTTTGCTATATTTCTCTTTACAACTATAAGCTTCCATAATTATCTCTTAAAATACAAAAAGGATAATGTAAAATAGAAGGAAAGTCATTTGTTTTAAAAAGCAGATTTTCCCTTTTTAGGTTAGAAAAAGAACAAGCTTTTTTTGAGAAGCATTATATGATTCAAGAGAAAGAAAGAAATTGACGGCAGAGTGCTAGGCAGAAATAAAGCAATCGATATAACCAATGGAGAACCAAAGTGAGAGAACTGATGTAGTTAAGTGAGAGATGATCAATTATTACTATAGAATCAGAGAAGAAAAAACATACTTCTCAAATTTTATGAAAGAAAAGGAGCAACATTATTTGGGCAGAGACTGGTTAAGAATTAAAACCCAAACAACTGTTGTTGAATCTGTTCAACAGAATGGATTTATGTCAATAGATAAGAGAAACAAATGAGGGAGAAAAACAAGATTTTTGGGAAAGTATATATGAACATTGGTCTTGGCAACTGTTTGATACAGTAATGAGTCTTCTAGCAGAAATATCTGATAGCGAAACACATAATGAAGAGGTAACATATATTGGGGGGGGGGGACACATCTGAGTTGCATAAGATATGATAAAAGAACGAGTAGATCAAAAAGTAGCTTTATCAATTGTGTGTCATTAATGTTCTAGGGTTTTAGATCTTCAGTATTCCAGGAACAAAAGCATGTTGTAAGGGATGGAAGAAGGTTGGTGAGGGATGGGGGGATTGGAATTGCCAAGCTGTGAGTTGGTACTATGGGGGCAATATCAGGGATAATGTATTGGTGGTCTCCAGTAAATGAAGAGCTGGACAAGATTGTGCAATCAAACAGCTCCTTCTGGTAGAAGAATGTAACAGAAGCAATGCTCCTGATCAGCTGTTTCGTGTTGCTTGCCATTCGGTTGGAGGTACGCAATGTTAAATATCTAAAAGTGCAGCTACAGAGTTGTGGTGATTCCCAACAAAATAACAGCAGAGGTAGTGTGTTCACTAGAGGTTGACTTCCCTCCTGAGAGACAATGCCAAAGCAATCCAAAGATGTCTGACCTTGCTTGGCATTCCAGAGGATGCAGGCATCTCAGTGATGGCACTCAGGGGCAACAAGAATGAGATTGGGATAATGGATGTATTGGAGAGTTGCTACTAGGTTTGTCACACTGGGCATTATCTAGCTTCTTTTCTGCAAGCCATGACTGGACTTAGAAGGACAGGAAAATACTTTGTGTTCCATCTATCAGCAGCTTATATCGGGAGTTTGGTCACCTGTGATATTCAAAAATCTGGATTGTGGAAAGAAACAATTTTTTTATACAGAAGATTTCAGAGAATGGTGTTGAGGAGATGTTCTCCCTCTTGATTGGGAGGAGAGGGAGCAATGATGATCTCTACTTGCTGTGGTTTTGGATTAAGTATCATTAAACAAAATGACTGCTCTTTAGAAGGCTAGATTCTGAAGATGGAATTCAAATACTTTGGCCGCCAAATGAGAAGGAAGAACTCACTGGAGAAGAGCCTAATACTGGGAAAGATTGAGAGCAAAAGAAGGGGACAACAGAGAAGGAGATGGCTGGATGGAGTCACTGAAGCAGTAGGAAGCTTAAATGGACTCCAGAGATGGTAGAGGACAGGAAGGCCTGGAGGAATGTTGTCCATGGGGTCGCTATGGGTCAGACACGACTTTGCAACTAACAACAACAAACAAAATGAAGCTTTTGAATAAATACCAGATATACTGTACAATACTTAAGAAGGAGTTTGTACAGATAATATAATTTAGTTATTAGATATATGTGCTTTAGTAATTTCATCTTTATTTTTTTTGTTGTTGTTAGTTGCAAAGTCGTGTCTGACCCATCGCGACCCCATGGACAACATTCCTCCAGGCCTTCCTGTCCTCTACCATCTCTGGAGTCCATTTAAGCTTCCTACTGCTTCAGTGACTCCATCCAGCCATCTCCTTCTCTGTTGTCCCCTTCTTTTGCTCTCAATCTTTCCCAGTATT